CGCCTTGTCTGAGCCTCAGAGGTCCAGGATGCCTCACGAGCCACACACATTGTCAGATACAGAGACCTCAGTGCAGGACCAGAGGGAGTCTGTGTGGCCCGTCAGCTCCGATGTGTGCAGGTGGGCAAGAGCCCAGAGGCCTGAGAAGTGCAGGGAGAGGCGGAGAGCTTGGTATTCACTCTGAAACCCTCACCTCCCCAGCTGCTGGGCAGCAGAGATTTCACGTATTCATATCCCTTCATTCCTCTGGGAATTCTGTACCTGCTTCACTTTTTGTCGTTGTTGTTTAATTAAAAAAAAGTCATCTCTGCCTTGTTCACATGCTCTGAGATCCTCAAGGGTGAGGATCCTCAAAGGTGAGATCCTCAAGGAAGGTCTGTACCTTCCGGCTCTACTGAGCCTGGCAAGTCGATGAGGACCCGGAAGGGGGGATGCTGTCTCCCATCACTTTCTCTCTCTGGTGTTCCCTCTGTGCCTGAAGTCTAAGTAACCGAGTCAGCACAGCTCCCGACCTTGCTTCTCCACCCTGCTGCCAGGCCCAGTTCCTAAGGCCCCAAGTCTATGCCATGCCCCGCTGCTTGGGAAGCCCCGAGATGGAGCCCAAACTCCCCGTGTTTCATATGAGGCCTCACAGGTAGCTCACTGTGACGCACCCCCAGGCCCCATCTCCTCGCTGTCTCCGAAGGTCCCCTAACCGTGCCCTCCCTGGTTCCTGCCTCGCCTGTCCCGGCTGGCCCTCCTCCAAGGGGCGCCGCGCTTCAGCTTTGCGCCGTCCTCACTCTGCACCCTGTGGCTCATGCATGCTCTGTCATTCTGCTGTGCGTGAGCTTCTCCAGGGATGGTCTGGAGTGGGGTGGAAGGCTGGTCTGGTCACTGCATCGTGAACTCCTTGGGGCCTACGGCCACGTCTCCCTCATGTTTGTCTCTCCCAGTGTCCCTGGGCGTCCTGCCCGTGATGAGCTGTCTATTACGGATGCATGGTCTTTTCGTGGTAGACGGAGGACAAAGCTGCTAGCTGAAACTGCCTTCCCGTGGCTCCTCTCCGGCTTTTCCAGAGCTGCTTCCTTTCAGGGACTTGCTTCCTGTCTTGCAGACTGCCTTCTCCCTGCACCCCTTCCTCTTCCAGCCCTCCATAAGATCACGCAGGGCTGATCTAACAGGTTTTTCCAGCTGGTATGATCTCTCCTGCATCAAAGAAGTGATGTGGTGAGATTGAAGTGCAGCTGAGAACCCTCGGGAGCTGGTCCAGGCTGAAGTGGACAAGAAGTCTTAGCTCGTCCAGTCGGGTGGCCGTGGGGTCCATCAGAGTTAACCGGACATCTGCCCCCCATGTGTGCACAGCACCCATGGGACTGGTTGCCCAACCAGGGGACAGCAGCCAGGGGCTCCCCTTTGCTGACCGTTGGCCCAGCAGCACTGCCCTGACCAGCCCCCTCCCCTTTGCCCCTTACTCGGCTCCTTCTGCTAATGACCTTTCACCAGGCTCCCTGTTACACTTTTATTCTTTTTTTAAGTTTTCTTTATTTGGCTGCACCGGGTCTTAGCTGTGGCATGCAGGCTCTTTAGCTGTGGCATGGAACTCTTATTAATAGTTGCAGCATGTGGGACCTAATTCCAAGACCAAGGATCAAACCTGGGTCCTCTGCATTGGGAACTCGGACTCTTGGCCACGGGACCACCAGGGAAGTCCCATCCCTGTTATGTTTTGGATTCTGTCTGTTTGACTGGCAGATTCCTAAGGGCAGGAACTGGGTTTGGAGCTCAAGGAAGTAAAGAGCATGGGCTTTGAAAGCACCGTTTCCTTAACTGTAAAATGGGGGTGATAACCATCTCGATCCCGAAGGCCTGTCTGAGGATTCCGTGGGTGATTGTGGCTGACGCTTGGTGCCTGGGATACACTGGGGACTTGTATATTGGAGTTGCTGTTATTCTTCTGATCATGACTAAGTTGCATGCCCTCGTGGAAGCTCACTGAGGCTTTGTGGGTCAGCCGATGACTGGGACTTCGTGCCCTTTTGACGAGCAAGGCCAGGAGGGAGCAGAGCGGAGGTCTGGTTACACTGGACAGCGCCTCCTCCTCTCCTGCCTGCTTGTGGTCCTGCCCACCCCCCGGCCCCCCTACTTCCCCCGTCAGTTGCTGAGGAAATAGTTACTGGCAGGAATCCACGTATAATCGGAAATGAGTGTGGAACAGTCCAGGACAGTGTGAGTTGGGGAGAAGAGAAAGTTGAAAGGAAATTAGAAGGCAGAGAGGGCCAGCCTGGGGGGCCCTGACTTACTCCAAGTGCCCATCCCGAGACTAGCAATGACAGCCCCTGGACAGCACTCAGCATCCTCAGATGATTCTCACACTGGCCCGCTCCTCTAGGGAGTGGGCTCTGCGAACCCCAATTTAAAGAGGAGGAGATGATAGCTCAGAAAGGTGAACTACCTGGCCCTGATCACACACTAAAATCTCAGCTCAGAGTGAAAAACAGGTTTCTCCAGCTGGTATGATCTCTCCCGCACATCAAAGAAGTGATGTGGTGAGAATGAAGTGCAGCTGAGAGCCCTCCGGAGCTGGTCCAGGCTGAAGTGGACAAGAGGCGTTAGCCGGTCCAGCCAGGTGGCCATGGCGTCCATCAGAGTTAACTGGACGTCTGCCGTGCACATGTGCACAGCACCCATGGGACCGCAGTGCCCAACCAGGGGATGGCAAGTTGCCATGGCTGTGATGCACACTGGGTTCCGTTTCTGGCCTGCCATGTGAGTGGGGAAGGGGCTTGGGATAGTAGCACCGCTGCTGGTCTCTTTAAAGAAGCTGAGGTGTCCTCAGAACAAGTGGCCGCACTCCAGAATGCCAGCCTGCCTCCAGCCCCGAGATGCAGACTCAGCAGCCTGGGGCCCTGCAGAACATCGTGATGAGGGTCTGGTCAGAATGAACGTCCTCCTTGGCCATAGCCCCCTGGTAGCTCTGTTCCTGCCGGTGGTCTTGGTGATTAAGGCCCTTCTGTCTTCCTGGCTGGAAGGGCAGGAGTGGCACACCTCATACGTTCCCTCCCCCCCGCAGACCTGGGCGCTCAGCACAGAGCAGGTGTGGAGTAAATGTCTGATGGGATCCGGGGAGGACATGGCACACTCACACCCTAGCCAGGTGCCTTAGGCAGCGCCTCCGGACGGCCAGGCTAGGTGCTGGGCGTGGGATATAGGGCAGGGGGTGTTCTGGGGCTGTCTCACCCTCTGGCTGGTGGCGAAAAGAGAGGTGCCCCTCCCCGCGTCTTCTGGTCCTCTCTATTTGCCAACTGGGCAGTGCAGACCTCCGCGCGAGCCCGGGGCGCAGCTGGTGTCTCGCGGTAGGATGCAGGGCTCCTGGATGCTCCCAAGCCCTCGGCCCGAGCGTTCTTGGTGCTGCGCCCTGAGCAGCCGGTAGCCCCTGCGCACCCCGGTATCACCCTGGGCGAGGAAGGATTCGGAGGGGCAAGGCAGGACCCTACCTGGGCCGTCTACTCTTCTCAGCCGGATGGGGGTCCTGCCCGGACCGCGGGGCAGGGGTGGGTGGGCGGGTGGGGGGAGCTCGCGCAGCTGCAGGAGCCTCCGGAGCCGCGGGTGCGCGCGCGCGTGCGCGGAGGGGGGCGGGGCGGGCGGCGCGGGTCGCCGGCGCCTTTCCGACACCTCGCGCCTCCCCTGCGGTCCCCCTCTCCCTTCGCGTCCCAGCCAGACCCACGTGTGCAGACGCGCCAGCCTCTGGGTGTGTGTGCAGCCCGCAGACTGTGCGCTCGGCTCGGAAAGGCCCTGTGGACACAGGGGGCGGCCGACAGCTCTCTGTGGCCGCGCTTCTGTCCCCTCCAGTCCTCCCCAGCCCTTTCCTCTGGTTTCCTTGGATCGTGGTTCCTCCAGCCGTTCTCTTCCCCTCCCGCCCCCTTCTCTCCCCTGGAAGAGGCCAGCGCCTTGCGATGAAGGCTCTGGTTCACCCCGGCTCCGGAGCCCTTGACATTTAGCTGGGCTCTCGGCGCACTGGTGTAGGCACCCGGCAGAACGCTAATCCCATTAAAGCCGTGGTGTCATCGGGGAGGGGGGCTGCCCCCCTGCAGGCATGGCGCTCATTGGCCGAATGCAAGCCAGGGGGCGGGGCCGAGGGCCGGGGAGGGGGCTCCGGCGATTTCGGAGTCGGGAGTCGGGAGTCGGGCCGGGATTTCGCAGGGGGAGCCCAGCGGTGGTTGCAGCTGCGGCGGATCCCTCGTCACTAGCCGCCGCCGCGCGCGCCCGGCAGCCCAGGGCCCCGGGGCAGCTCCGCAAAGTCGCGGGGCGAGAGGAGGCGGGCGCTCGCAAAGTGGCCGGGTCGGGCTGACTGAGAGAGGTGTGCCCGGGAGCCCGAGCCCGGCGCCCCGGTGCCTCGCGTGAAGCGGGGGTGCAGCGCCTGGGAGGCGAGCTGACGTTTGGGATCGAGAAATACAATCGCAGCCTCTCCAGAGGCGCTAAGTTACGCCGGCCAGCCGGCGCCCGGGGAGCGTGCGTGCAGCCAAACCGCGCCGCAGAGCCCTCCCGGGCCGGCCGGTGGGGAGCGGGGCCCTGACTCCCCCACCCCCCACAACCCCCACCCCGGCCCCAGCGCGGAGTCCGGCCGGCGGCGCGCCCGGGGACTGAGCCGGGGCGTGCGAGGCTCCTCCGACCCGCTAGCAGCCCCGCGCCCTTCTCGGGCGCCCCCTCCGTGCCACTCCGGGAGCGATGCCCCCCGCCCCCCGCGCCCCCCGGGAGCGACGCGAGCATGGAGAAGTCGAGTAGCGAGGATTCTTCGATCCACCGGAGTCCATCTTTGGACAGCAAGGACTCGGACTTTGCCAAGCCGTCCACCTCGGGCCGCCCGTTCGGCCGCGGCTTCACGGCCGGCGCCTTCTACGGCACCGCTGGCTCCCGCGGCCAGAGCCACGCCGAAGCCGGCGTGAAGACCGACAAGTACAATGCGCCCAAAGGCAGCAAGTACGTGGTGTTTTACCTGGACCTGTCCTTTGTTTTCCTCCTAGAATTTAAGAAGTGCAACATGGCCAGGGGCTGCCTGTGCTGCCTCAAGTACATGATGTTCCTCTTCAATTTGATATTCTGGGTAAGTCCTTCCGAGTGTCTCGCCTGCCTTGGTCTCTCCTCTTTGCTTAAGCACATACCCTCTCCCCCTTCCGAGCAGCATGGCCCTGCTGTCTGCACAGCGGTAAGTGGGTCTTAAAACACAGTTCCCCTCCCTCTCTCATACATCTTTCTCTCTCCTTGGTGGCTGAATGAAGACTGCAACTCCTCCAGGAGAGACTTGTTCTACTCCTAGGAGGCTGCTGAAGTTTGCCACCGCCTCCTCCACCCCACCCCCGTTCCCAAGAAACCGGTGCCTCCAACTGGGTCCTGTGCAGAAATAGGTGTGGGGTCGGAATTTTTAACAGCTGTGACCTTGAGTTGAATTCAGGCAGAAGTGCAGATGGTTTTCCGAGTTTCTTCTTGTATTCCTCCTGCATGTAGGAGAACACAGTCTGCAGCATTTTATGGGCATGAGGTGGGCAAGTGGTGGAGGTCACGTCCCTCCCCCCTCCTTCCAGTGAATCCCAGGAAAAGCTGGGAGGGGGCCCTGTCCCAGGCCAAGGGGGGCCGCTGGCCTGCAGCTCTGCCCGCTGCCCCCCTCCCTCCAGTTGGGGCTTGCAGGGAGAAGGAGGACGTGGGAGGGTTGCTGCCATCGGGTGGCGGCAGCTGCTTTTGAGGGATTGCAGTGGACTGGGCAGGGAGCGGGCCAGCCATGTGCTCCGGCCCTGGAACCCAGAGACTGGAAGGGACAAAGGGCGTGCCCCATCCTTGGTGAGAGATGATGTTCCAGGGGAGGGGTCAGTGGGTGGGGCAGCTCAGAATTGTTCTTCATCTGCTGTTCTCCTCCCTCCCCTGTGTGCATGAGAAGTATCTATAATAGTTTGGTGAATCTGAAAACTTCTTACATTCATATCTGGTTCTTCCTTCAGCCCAACTTCTGCCTTCGCCTTTCTCCTCCAGAGCCCAGATGTATGTAGTCAGCACAGATGTTTGGCTCTGCCCCAGGGCTGTCCTTCTGCCTCCTGGAGGCTGTCAGCTGCCTACGGTCCAGGAGGAGTCCCCGGGGGTGGTGGGGTGGGCGGGGGAGTCACTCAGTGCAGTGGGCTGGGCGCAGTGTGCTTCGGCGTTCAAGCGTTTGTGTGAACTGACCCACTTGAACTGAAAAACTCTTGTGGGTGTGTAGGGTTGGGCAGGGTGAGTTTTCTCATAGATGCGGAGCCCTCAGCCCAGGGCAGGAAGAAGCCTGGCCTCCGGCCTTGGTTCTGCATTAGCTCTTCGTGTGACCTTGGGCAAATCATTTCATCCCCAAGGACTGGTTTCCTTTGCAGTCCAGTGGGGGTGAGCAGTCGTGATGGTCTTCCTTACAGCCTCACCTCCTTAGTTACGGGACGTCCCGCCTGCTTGCCTTCACTCTGGGGAGGGAGCCCCCGTCCCTTCTCTTCCTAGGAACCTGGTCTGAGATGGTCTGAGTAGGATTTCCCCAGACGCCTCCATGGCCTGGGGTCCTCCGGCCACGGCTGTAAGGTGTTACCGGTCCCGTGGTGAGGGGACACTGGGGCAGACCCATGGGAATGTCAGGAATGATTCTGGGGCCGCCTTTGGGCAGCTGCTGCTGGTTCTCTGCTGGTCTGCCAGCATCAGTGTCAGTCAAGCACCCGTGTGTATTTCTCTGGTGCCTGTGGATTTGCAGGAATGTGGCCTGTTCACTGGGCATGGCTTCCCTCTCTGCCCTTGTTCATGGTCTCAACCTCCCTTTCTGCCTTTATGCCCACGCCCCTCTCTTACTAGAAAGACCCTCATGGGATGCTCCCTGCCCTGGCCAGTACCTCCGGCTCAGCTGCGCTCCTCCCCACCCCCACCCCGCCACCTTCTGGCCGGAGGAGGTATAACTGCCTCTTCATTTCTCCAGGAATTTAGGGACCTTCGCCCTGCACGTAGAAGGCACCATTAATAGTTACGTGTTTGTGGGTGAATGGATGAAGGATCAGCGCACAAAATTCAAACGTGGGGTGGGGGTTCCCACATCCCACTTGATGGGGAAGAGAAGTCAGTTCTCAAACTTGTCAGTGGTGCAGGCTCTCCTAGCTGCTTGGCTGTAAGGTGACAAGCGACTTTGAATGCCGAGGAGAATGAGCCGGTCGGTGGAATGGCCTTCCCTTTTGGTTACAGTGAAAAAATTTACTCCTCCTGTTAAGAAAGTACCTCCCACCTGTCTTACCAGGCAAGAAGTCACTCTCTCCTAGTCTCTGACTTTTCTGGTTACTTTTTATTTTCAGATTTCTCATGACATGCTATAAATTGGGAAAAATTTGGAGTCTCAGAGACCCAGTTCTTTCATGCTAGTAGCATATGAGATGATGACATAAGGCCCAGACTTTAGGAGAGACAGGAAATCAGCACAAGAGAAACGGATGCTCGTGTGTGTGTGTGACAGTGGTGGGCACTGCGTTTCTTGGGAGGGGAAGGAGCGGGTGCGGCCAGGATTTGGGCCTGTGGTCCCTGCACTCCAGTGTGGCAGGGGCTTCCTGCAGGAGGTGCTTGGGGGTCCGAGATGGGGGGAGCCGCGAAGGGAAGAACCAAGTCAGGAGAGAAAGAGCCAAGGCGGGTGGGGTTGCTGATGAGGCAGGACCCCTGGAGAGCCCTCCTGGAAAGCACAGCCAGGAGTGAGAGGCTGGGGGCCAGGAGGCGAGCAGTCTGGTCAGAGCCGAGCCCTCGGGGACCCAGAGCAATTGTCAGGAATTGTGTAGCATCCATTCTCTAGTCTCCTGGCTCATGTCCCCAAGGGAGGCTTTTCTTTCTAAGGAGGCATTAGAGTTGAACCCGAGGCCTGCAGTCCATACCTAGAGATCTTCCCATAGATCCTGAAGCTTACCTGGTCCTTCTCCAGACCCGCCTCTTGTTGCTACACCCCCTGTCTCGGGGGAGCCCGCTGGGGAAGAGTCCCGCTGCCAGGAGGGGTGCAGCCTTCTTGCACCGCAGCCCCCCTCGCAGGCCTGAGTGGGCTCAGTGCCTGGCCACTGGGTGGAGCTTCTGGGGTGCTGGTATTGGTGAGGGCCGGGGTGACATCACCGGGGGCAGGATAGAGGCGGAGCCCTGGGGCTGGCACCACCTCCTCTCTTCCCCAGGAAAGGGCAGGTGCCTTGCAGGCTGCTGGGCGCCTGCCTGGGTGGAGGAGGGGGTGGTGTTCAGGTCTGCCCCTGGCACCGCAGACTAGAGCCAGCTGGTGCTAGCCAGGTTGGCGCCCGGGGCCGCATTTCTGAGGGCCTGATATAGATGGTGGGGTAGAAGTCAACCTGCCTGAATGAAGCTCATCTCCTCTGGGCCTGCATACACCCTGCCCAGATCCTTGGGGGCCAAAGAGAAGGCTGGCTTCGAGGTGGACAGGAAATGAGCTGGGCAGACGTTTCCCCGACCCGTGGGGCCCTTCCGCCAGTCCTCAGGCCACGGCAGTCAGCCCCATCTCACCAGCCTCCCGGGACCATCTGGTGGAGTTCTCCAGACAGAGATCAGGCGCGTCTAAGCCCCTTCAGGAGGGCACAAAAGACTCAGGGCTTTTAACTCTGAGTACAGGGGGAGCTCCGAGTGCTGGGGGCCTCTGTCCCCTTCTTGGGGTGGCACATTGTGACCCCCGCCCAGTTCCCCCCAACCTGCACTGAGTTCCTATCTTGTATGGAAGGGGGGCTGCTGGTGGTAGAGCTGGGGGTGCTATCATAATTGCTTCTCAGGATCATGGTCACTTTTCACGTGGCTGGCAGAGCTGTCCCATCGCTTTAAATCATGCCTTGCAGAGCAGTGACATTCTGGCCCCTTTGGAAAGTCTGTTCCTTGTGGATTGCTTCCTTAATACAGGCCAATTAGCCAAGGGTGCCTGCTGGAGCAGGAGGAAGGCTGGTGCAGGGCTGGGTCGGGTGGGGGCGGGCTCCCTGATTAACCTCTCCTATGAGGGGGCAGGGCTTTAGCGCCCCCCCCACCCCTGCAGGCTGTTCACTTGCCCTCTGGGTGCGGCAGCTTGATCTCAGCTCTCCAGTCACCTCGGGGGCACGTATTCGGTGCTGGCTTGGTTGCCAGTGGACGCCGTGGCTGCCCCATGGTCCATGACGTCCGGGACAGGGTGTGTGCACAGTGTGGGTAGGGTGGCCTGGGTGTCCTGAGTCTGTGGTCTGCCTTCTCTCCAGGAAGGCGGGGGTGGGCTCTGAGGGGTCAGCACAGAGTCCGAGCAGGACATACAGGCCAAGCTGGGCAGCAGGAGGCATGGAGAGGCCCTAACCCCGGGGCTCCCAGCCTGCTCCCCACAGGGCAGCTCCACGTGGATCCTCAGGGTGGGTCAGGTGGGGGAGGAGGGCAGAGGCCCGGAGTCCCGGGCACGTGGCCGCTAGGGGATGCCGGCTGTGTTCGCTTCCTTTCCAAAGCATTAAAAATTAAACTTCCTTGTCTTGATATCTATTTTTAAATCATGTCAGAGCCAGCATTGGTGTCACTCAAGAGGGGGCGGGGAGGAGGAGGGTGGAGAAAAAGAGAGTCCCGCTGAAACAGGGAGAAAGTGCTGTCACGGCGGTGGGGAAGGGCCCCAGGCCTGTCCTCCCTCCCGTTCGCCGCGGCCCCAGAGGAGCACAGAAAAGGCCACCGGCGCCTCCACAGCCCTCCCCGGAGGACGGAGGATGGGGCCGCACCCTGCCCTGCCTCCGTGCGCCTGGCTGCCCTTGGCTGAACTTGACGGCGGGCTCACTGGGCTGTGGGGTCTCAATCGAGCCCATGCACTCATGCCGCAACTATTTCCTGAATGCCCGCTGCGTGCGCAGGGGCCTCCAGCGCTGGGGACCGGCTGACTGGGCTTGCACAGGGCGGATCAGCTTTCCCGGCCAGGAAGTCGCGGCTGGAGAGGTCACCTGGCCTGTCCTCCCCCCGGGGCGCTGGGACACTGAGCGCCCCTCACCCTCCCCAGCATTCTGGGCTCGGGCAGCGGTGGTCCTGACTCTGCATGCATCCTGGGAGCCTGACTTGACCTTCTCCCGTGCGGGGTGGTGGCTGTCTGA